TAATTTTGTGTATATTTTGTTCATGAAGGTATTGCGTGGATTATAAACCGATAAATGGTAAACCGCTAGTTAGTCACTATTTTATATTTTTTTACTATGTTGTAATTAATAATATTAGACAATGATTAAAACTAAATATTCTTGGTGAAAAAAAACGGTACAAATTTATAATTTTAGAAGATGTTCATAAAAAATTAAGCACTAGTTGATTAAAACAAATATACCATTAATATTGCAAATTATAATTTTTCCTCTAAGAGTAAATGCCTATTTAATTTTTTGATTATGTAATGGACACTTGGTTTACTCATTTGTTTCGTCGAGCTGCTTGAATCCATTTTTGCTTCTGAAAAATCAAAACGGTGTGAGAAGTTGTGAAACTCTAAATTTTGTTTCGGGAGAGTTGAATATCCTGGAAAGTTGAGTTATTGAATGTTATTGCATCCAACAATCACGTAATTACGCCCTCCTTTGTGTGTTTTCACGTACATTTTTTCGACAATTTCATTATCGTTTGAAATTGTCACAACACAAAGCGGATAGGACGGGAGACCTATCTGCTTTGTGTTACACAGAGAGGTTAGAAGAGCACCATAATAAACCTGTCCATTCCCATACCTTCCTTAGATGACGTCACACGCAAACCGGCAGGCCTTATTTTCCGAAGGTAATGAGCAAACGCCAAACGAGCAATTTAACATCTATGAAATTTTAGGAGTTTTATATAGAAATCTAAAATTATGTTTTTCTTGCCATAATTCCAAACTCAATAAAACTTTTAATAGACTTAAACAATTAATAAACACGGCCTGCCAATAAAAAAATACTATTTAACTTTGAAAACTGAATTTCGAAAGTAATTAAACTGACTTTGTAGCGGAAAAGGGTCGAATAACGTGGCAAATAAACGAAAAAGGTAAAACGGGGGGAAAATAGGACCCGCGGTAATAAATCCCGGGCAAAAGGGTGGCGGCGCTGTTTATGATTAACGAAACAATGGCTTTTGCGAAACGCAAATTACGCCGCTTGTCTGTCGAGGGTTCAACGACTGGTTTGGCCGCTATACAAAAGCGAAACTTGCCGTATTTATAATACTGCTTCGTGTACAATAACAAAACATACCTGCAAAAAGCTTATGTAACAGAAAGTTGCGTAACTTTGTTTTAAAAAAAGAATATTTAATAAAATCAGTTATTTCTTGTTTACTTTATAATTGTGTTTATCCAAGGTATATAAATCTGGGAGGCATTATGTCGGACTCTTAAGATCGCTCTCGGGGGTCGGGTAAAGCGGGTGTGTGGCCGCAGGAAATATATATTATATTTCAGAAATCTGCCTAAGGCTTAGCCCGATCCTGTCGTGTTAAGCCACACCCAAAATTCCCGGCACACGTGCTTTGCGGATTAAGGTTTGCAGAGCTTCAGCATTTGCCATAAAATAGCGAGTAATTTGTTACAAAACCATATAAATTATATATAAATTGTACTGAAGCTGTGGTTGGTTCCTTGTGAAACATCGTTGAAATATTAGTATTTTAATAAAACACGCTTTTTGATGTATCAAAAAACTTTTAATAAGAGTAACTTTAACTCTACATATATGTTTCGGCTTGTTAGGCCTTTTTCAAGAGTTTTTTAAGAACTAATCGTCTAACTACACTGTAACTATATATATATTTGCTATGGGGGTGGGTTCAGAGAGTTTACAATAGGGGTAATAAAAAATGTGTTTAGAAAGACAATAATCCAGTTAGACCAGTCGTCTCGTACATAAATGCTCCCTCTTATAAATTATGTCAAATACTAGCTAAAACACTTCCTTCCATGATCAATTTTCAATCAAAATTTGCCATAAAGAATTCTTTTGAGTTGCTAGATAATTTGAAAAATATTGAAGTTCCACATAATGCAACACTCGTTTCTTTCGATGTCAAAAGCCTGTTCACTTCTATCCCAACCCATGAATTGTCCTCTATTATTTATGAACTAATTGATAAATCTAATCTTAATATAATAGTAAAATCAGATTTAATAACAATAATTGAAACTTGTTTAGAACAAAACTATTTTCAGTATAACAATGAAATATTTAAACAGAAAGATGGGTTACCGATGGGTTCCCCAATTTCACCGTTATTCGCAGAAATATTTATGGCAGATTTTGAAAAGAAGCTATTTAAAAACAAGAGTAGTTTAATATCAAAAATAAATTATTGGGCAAGATATGTAGATGACATTTTTTGTATTTGGTCAGGCACCGAGAGAAATTTAAACAGTTTTTTAACATTATTAAATTCAATTAACCCGAGAATACAATTTACTATTGAAAAAGGTATTAATACCATCAATTTTCTTGATGTTACAATTATAAAACAGTCTAATAGATTACAATTTGATATTTACAGAAAACCCACTACCACAGACACTGTAATACATAGTCAATCACACCAATCCTGGCAAATCAAAATGTCACCCTTTCATAGTTTAATTCATAGATTAGTAATGTTTCCACTGAGCCCAGAGAATTTTAAAAAAGAGTTAAATATTATTAAACAGATCGCCATCAACAATGGATATAAGTGTTCCCTTATTGATAATATGCTAAAGAAAAAACAAAACAAAATATTAATGAAAAATTTTTAATCCGCTAATTCTAAAGACAATAACAATTATCAACCTTTAAACTACATTCCTAATTTAACTAACAAAATATCAAATAATCTCAATAAAATAGGATGTAAAACTATTAACGTAAATAAAAGAAATTTAGGTCAAATTTTATTAAATAATAAAGACAAAACTAATGTCAAAAATAAGTCGGGTGTATATAGGGTGGATTGCAATACTGTGATGCCGTGTACATAGGCCAAACAGGTAGAAATTTAGATATAAGGATTAAAGAACATGTAAAGTATATTAATAATCTCCAGCATAGTTCTGGTCTTGCAACTCATTGTATAGTAAATAATCACAAAATTAATGAAAACTCAATTAAGTTACTACACAGAGAAACAAAAGGTAGACGTTTAAATTACATTGAACAGTTAGAAATACTAAAATCTGTTAAAAACGAAAATAATGTTAACGACCAACAAGGATTTCTAAACACATTTTTTATTACCCCTATTGTAAACTCTCTGAACCCACCCCCATAGCAAATATATATATAGTTACAGTGTAGTTAGACGATTAGTTCTTAAAAAACTCTTGAAAAAGGCCTAACAAGCCGAAACATATATGTAGAGTTAAAGTTACTCTTATTAAAAGTTTTTTGATACATCTAAAAGCGTGTTTTATTAAAATACTAAATTATATATCACTGTAATCACAAAAGTTCAATCTATTTCCGTATTGTAACGGAATTTTAAATTATGTCTTTATTTTCAAGAACATTTAGTTCAATTTAGTGCAAACATAAGGAATATTTTGTTGATGTTTGACTATCAAAATCTTAAAAAGGAAGAAGTTGTCTAAAAATGTGGTACAATACGGATATAGTATAATCCTTTATCTTTAATTTCCTTCTTCATTTGTGTAAAAATACTTAGCCAGTTTTATATAGAACGTTAAATGCCAAACGCTTATTTTGTTACTTTTTTGGACTAGTGAAATGGACTCTTAAGGAAGAATAAAATGTATTTTTATTTTACGTTAAATCTAGCATAATGTAAAAGTTTTAAAATCGCAGCAAACATTACGCTCTTTTCATTTTAATGACGCTTTTGACACTTACACCATTATATATTTACTCTTTGGCGACAGTTCAACGACTGGAATATCACCCTGTTCCACTTTTAATGACTTTTTGGCACTTACGTAGGATGAAAATTACAAAGTAGTCTCTGTATGTTTATAGAACCTTTCAGTCAAAGGTAAAAAACAAGCGAAATAAAAGTAAACATCGGCATTTCAGTATCACAGATTTTTATATTAAAACTATGTGCTGTAAAAGTTGGTGAACACTTGACAGTAGTGATGAGTGAAATATCGGTAACTGTGACTTTGTCACTGATATTCTATAATCAAAGTCACGGCCTGTGACTGATTTGAAAATAAACGGTGACTTTCTAAAGCGTGACGATTACAGTTAATTGTGATTTCTCTGGTAACGAGAAAATACTTCACAGAGCGGGACGTCGCGATCGCGAACGCAGCTGCCGATGGCGCCGGTCGTGACTCAGTTCACAGTCACGAGTCACCACGTACGTCTCATAGGATAGATATCTGACAAAGTGATCTAAAGACAGTGACTGTTAGAAGTGATTTAATTTTTTATGTATTTTATATTTTATTAGTATTTTTTATCACTACGAATCGGTTTGGTTCCTTTTTAGTTTAGCAGGTTTTTTTAAAGCCAAACATATAAAGTTTTACCTTTATACTGTTTATTTTTTTTAGAAACTTCATTTTTTATATATTTCGTTTATTTTAATACAAAGGAAAATATTTGTTGTGTAATGTATTACTTATCTCGTGTTGTTAAGTTTCGTTCGTTATGGTTATGAGCATATTGCATATTTTATTCTTTTCCCGTTGGTTTCTTTTAATAAAAAATTGTTTTATTTTTATTTTTTAATATACCTTTTACCCATTGTTAATTGTGTTTTCTATTTCAGCGGCCTTGGATAAAGGACAAATAAAAATTAGTATAACAACAACAACAGAATCGTATCATTCGTATCGTATCTTATATTTTAGCCGTGATTGTGCTTTCGGATTCATAATCATAAAGTCGCAGTCACAGTTCAGAGTCACAGATAATACAAAGTCGCTGTCACAGGTAAGCTTGTGAACAGAAAATCACGGTTTGGCTCATCACTACTTGACAGTTAATCACATTACCCGAAGTGCAGGTCTTTAAAAACAAAGACGTTTGTAGTTGGCATTATAGTATCCTTTAGTATATCTAATCTAATGGTTAATACCAACAAGCTTAACAGCCCAATAAAACGAGTAAAACATATTATTTTTCACAAAATAAAAGAAATAATAATTAATTACCTTTATCCGGAGGTTCTGGCGAATTTCCAGTTTCCGATATGGCCGACCGTCCTTGACGCGGCCTCCGAGTGACGTTGCTTTGACAGTTGACACCACTTAAACCTCTAATAACTCGACTCTGCAACAAAAATAATCACCCATTATTTCTAATTCCTTATAACTAAAAATAAATACAATGACACATAATATAAACGTTTCTGATATTTCATGTGAATTTTTCTCTCCTATTACTGGATAAATGTGTTAAACAGAATATTGATCATGAAGGGTAAATGAACTGAATTTACTCAATAAAACCGTCCAAATACTAGAACAGAATAACGAAGAGGGTAGTATTTTACCGACACACCCCTTCTGCATCGTTCAGCTTCTGGGAATTCATTATTTAGCGGAAAAGGGAGATAAGCAAAGGGGGTGTAGGGTAACGAATGGCCGATTCGTGGCATAATCGCGAATTTAGTGGGGTTTTGTGCCGCGTTGATGTTTGAAAATCACGCGACTTAGCCGCCCTCAAGAATTTTAAAACCATCGGAGGGGTTTTAGGACGATATCGCTCGAATACCATGATTCCTTAATTCTAAAATGCTGCTAAATAATTTAATAACCTCTCGGTAGTTTTACATGTCAGATAAAATATGGTACAAAGTACAAAGCGAACCATAATTATGGAACAGTATATTTCCCATGACATTTTTTAGTTCCTGAAATACAGGGCGAATTTTAAAATGTTGCATTTTTCGACCCCTGCCTATCTTGGTTATCTTATAATTTATCGAAAAGTTGAAAACTGTGTCTCGTTTAGAGCCTTTCATGTACACTGATAAAAAAGATAGACTTAGAGTCGTCATCGTTCTTGAAAAAAAGTTAAAAAAAAATAGTGGTAAGAGAATTTATTTTAGCGTAAAAGAAAATATTTTGCCGGAAGAAAAACTCTCTTAACTCTGGTTCAGAAAACTGGTTCTCTTGAAAAATTCGAAAATTTCTCTTGAATCTATTTTCATTCAACCAAGTGCAAGTTATATAGCAAGCAAAATACGCTAGGAAGTACTTCATTCAAGAAACATGGCCATTTTTCCAATAGCTAAATACTATTTTGATGAAAAATAATAACGACACGCAAAGACGATGACGAAGAACGGTATATACAATCAGTCGGCAGTCCAATCAGTCGTACGTCGCATTTCATAGGTCGCACATCATAGTACACACGGATTTTGTTGCTTGGAATCACTTCACTTGGAATTTTGCATAATTTGCTTTTTAAACGCATATCGTATAACAAATTAGTATGATCGTTATTAATATGCATTTGTCATTTTTTATGGACAAATTTTAGGATATATGGATTCTTTAAAGGAGTTTCTGAAAAAATGGAAATTAGAGCACTTATTTGCTATATTTGAAGGTAAGAGACATTTACCTAATGCACCTGTTTAGATAATGCATGCGTGACTATAGAATAAGAATATAGGTATCGATTTTTTTATGCAAATAATTACAAAAATTTTAGAATTTCAAGTCGTCGTATTAAAAAATTCAAAATGTGACCAAAGCTTATAATTTTAATAATTTATTTGCTTTACTTTGATTAATCATGATGTAACATTTTTTTGTAATTTGTAGAGTGATGAACCACCCCAAAAAATACCAAGGAGTGAAGAAGCAGAAATAACCTAAATTTATCAGAAAATAATATACCTCGTATCTAATATGCCTGTATATGCTTGTATATGTATAGACTTCTCTTATATCAAAATAAATTTTAGTTGAGTCAATAGTATTCTCTACTGGTTTAAGAAAAGTGTCTCTTTAATCAAGAAATGTCCCTTTTCAATCAAGAATTTTTGCATGAATCAAAGAGACTATTGTTCTTGTAGCAAGAACTTCTATGCATATTCATTTTGGGTCAAGAGTGAAATACTTTGGACAGATAGATTCTTCTATTCTTTAAAGTAATTTTTTAAAGCTTATGAAAAGATAGTTAATGCTTTGGGCAAAGAAATGTCATTCTTGGCCCTATTGAAAAGCGCCAATCTTTTGGGTCAAAGTCATATTCATTTCGACTGAGAGATCCTTTTTTCAGTGTAGAATCCTGAGATGTAAAGACTGTTCAGCCATCATTCACCGTTACGTCATCATTATATGTCAAATATGAGCTTTAGGGTGTGTCTATAAGATCAGTTCATATTGTTTAGAAAATTTTAAGAACGTTCCTATATTACTGATTGAGCGAGTTCCGTTTTTTTTTCCGGGATTTATTAATTTTTCTCTGACTCTTCATCAGTTAAGGTCCCTTTAGTTCAAATCTTTCGGACTGTTGAAATTCCTATTTCTAATATTAAACCTTTGCATTGTACTTACTTCATATACGGCGTCCACGGGCAAGAGTGTTCTACCAGCGTCTCTTTCTCGCGAAAAATAAATTATAAGCTTAGCAGTGATCTCTTGTTCATTTTGATTACATCTTTGAGGCATTTTTTCAATAAAAAAAATGAATTTTGTTTGACAACAACAATTGTTTTTTAATTTTGACATTGCTCGATGTCCGTCAATAAAATGATAACCCCAAATCAAATGACAATGACAATTACATAAAAAGAACATGCATTAACTTACGAAATGCTGTAATGACGTCACTAATCTCTTTCATCTGGTTGTCAAGTGATTGAGAGAGTTCGACAATATATGACGTGATTCTTTAATTAGTTTTTTCGCTGGAAGTTGTCATTTTCGAAATATGACTTAAACTCATGTTATTTTAAATAGGCCGCCCTGTATATTATTTTATTTTATTTGCCTTGTTGCAAGCTTTCTAAAAATATAACATACCCTATACTTATTTACATAAATAAGGTAAAAATGCATTATTTATACAATAAATAACTTTTTCCTCTAGTAAAGACGACACGGGGACATACTGTATAATTGCACATTTTCTCAAAAAACATTTCTCCATTTTTCTCAAGTCGGATTACGAAAGAATAAAGAAAAAGGAACTGTAATAACCTAAACTCATCCACCCTCCTTCAATTTCCTTCTGATCTTATCTTCCCTTCTCTCGGATCGATTGTTCACAAAATACCCTTAAAAGTTCGATCCCCCTTTAAATTCTCTTTCGAGAGGCAATTATTTGCAGATCTATCGTCCTTAATTTTTCTTTCTTATATTCTTTTTTCTTTACAACTTAATTTGATAAGGCGCAATTAAGTAATTTATTTATTTGTAAATTCATCAGATTTTGTGACTTTTTAAGATTTATTTACATTAAGCTGATTTTGATTAAAATATATGGGACCAGAATATATCTGAAATGGAAAGTGGGACAGAAAATCTAATCAAGAACTCCATTCTTTAGATCTAAATATGATTGAGTTTGATCAAAGTGACTTCCAAAATATATAAACTAGCACAAATAAGGGAAAGGATAATAATAAGAGAGGTATTTTTCAATAATAATAAAGCACTAAATAGGTAAATTTCTGAAATGACAACTTCATTTGACAGTTATCTTTTACCTTGACTGGTGCTCATAAGTAAATACAGGGCCATAAGAAAGGAGAAATATTTAAAAAGAAATCGGTGATAACTCGTAAACGAGCTAATCAAAAATACCTAAAGTTATTCTTTTGAATGTGGGTTTTAGTGTCCTTCAATAAACCTAAATAGAATTATTCTCTAAAATAATTACGGTAGCCAATAATTGACCCCATTAAATTTTACATGGGATTTCCTATGTAAAATTCGATTCAACACCCGGTATTAGTATATCATAATATGTATATTATGTATATTAAATTACTAATAAGCTCATATCATTTATGAGATCCCAACTGGTTTTATTTTCCCCCTTTTCTCCCATTTAAGAATCGAATGTAAGGAATTGTTTGTCCAACGAATATAATAAAAAGTATTCCAAAACAAACCAATTAAATTGGGACCCATTCCAAGTTTCCAATCGAACTATTCGTTTTTTTGGCAGTTTCCATTGTTATTTCTTTTATGTTTTTCTTTCGTCTGTAAGAAAGTTATGTGGGTTGGACAGTTATTAAGGGGGTATTTTCCGAATATCGACTTTCGCTCGTATTACAAAGAAAACCGAAGAAAACAAGATAAAATGGAGACGTCTCAGTGTAAATGTCGATCTTATAGACGGGTATTTTTTGCGAGAAATAGAAAAACATGTTAAATCTTATATAAGTTTGTAAACAACTACAAATAACTAAAATTTATGAGATATTCATGTAATCCCTAACCAAATTACATTAAACTATCAAGAAATTTGTACAAATTACACGAAATACTATAATAGTGGTGATATTTATAGGTGTACTAGCGTGTACCCGCGACTTCGTTCGAGTCGAATTAATCATTTGTAATGGTAATGATAAAGCAAAGCAAGAATTTCCATTAACATACAAACTGGATAAAATTTTCTCACATTATGTCAGCATGAGAAAAAACAATATGGCGATATTATTATATAACTTGGTAATATTTGAAGGGTAGCTTCATCTCGTTGGAATTTGACTTTCGAAAAATCCGTTGGCCAAAAATAAGCTTTTTACGTCAGAGAGTTTAAGCAGAATCGTGATTAATCATTACCCAACTTTTTGGAACACCCTGTACGATTTTTTAAAAAATTTCAAAATATGTAACAAAACAAAATAAATTATGTATGCGTGTCCAAGCGTTTTCCCGAAAGACTAAACGTTTTTTAAATAACAAATATTCTAATATTTGAGAGGCGTTTTCACCCTCTTGGAATTTGGATTCGAGAAACCCCTCCTTATCGAACCTCTACACCCCACAGTCAATCCGTTTGTCAAAAATCAGCTTTAAAAGTCAAGCATTTTAAGCAGAATCGTGATTATTCAATGGTGATATTTTATGAAACACCCTGTATAAATTTGTAAAAAATCTTAAAATATGTAAAACAACAAAATAAAATATACGTGTTTAAGAGTTTTTCCGAAAAACTCACCGGTTGTTAAATAAAAAATATTCTAATATTTGAGGGGTGGTTTTACCCCGTTAGAATTCGAGTTTCGAAAAATCCCTTCGTATCGAACCTCTACACCCTAAAGTCAATCCGTTTTCCAAAAATCAGCTTTTTACGTC